AATTAAGAAAGGACTTGTATCGCCGAAGTTCCTCGGAAAGAATTTATACCGGAAATTAACAAACGAGCAGATACGTAACAACTTCTTACGTCTTGTTTTCACACGCACAACTTCATATGTATTTTCCAAGCATCACTCTTGCACTTCCTAAACACCCTAAGATCAATTGTTTGCAGTACTAATGTCAAACATAATTTATTAGTAAGTAGCTTGTCCCATCCAGATCACCCATGTAGCAGTTTTCTCATTACTTTTTACTTATGTATATCACATCATGAGATGAAAACTTAAATATATTGACCTACAACTTTGTACTGATGTACCTGATGCTGTACCCAAGGTATAGTCAGATGATAAGAGGACTCTGTATCAGCACATATAAAACTTGTCCCCCCATTAACTAATTGCTAAGAACACTTGCTTTCATTGCATGTAGTAATTTGGTCATGTTTATCAAAACTTGATTTGGCATATGGAAATGTTATTAAAAGATAAAATGAACTCTTAAAAAAGTTTCAATGCTATTACTTTTTTAATATACTTGGCATGTCACTTTCAAAATTTTACATTTACAGTGCTGAAACCATCCATGCAGTAGTCACTAAACCCTTATAACAGAAATAAAAAATAACTTTATAGTGTGCTAGCAAATTATTTATAACTTGATAACCAAGTGTAGAATATGTTTTTTATATAAAATGTTTTTTTCATGTTTTTATTATTTAAGATTCAAACTAAAATCTTCAACATTTTATCCTTTATAATTATAGGGTTAATGCATGCAATGAGAAAATAAGATCGCATTACTTTATCTAAATGGTAAAGTTGATTTGAATAAAAAAAAAAAAAAAAAGTGTATATACAAGAAACTTGCAAAATATTAAGAAATAGTGCATCAAATATTATACATACTGGTTTGTAAAACAGATTTAGATACGTTATTGATGAACTTTTGCATTTATTTTATAACTGAAGTAAAGAGAAGTACGTGTGAGAAAAATGTTTCTAGAAGAGAATAATCTTCATTTTTATGTGACGGCAAGGTCAGAATGTCACCAATGTTTCCATTTTATTTTTGTTTTAAAGTTTGGAAAAGGAAAATGTATGTTGAGTGAGATATTTTTAAATGTTTTTCAGGTGACATCAAAAATAATATTTGTGAGCTCAGGTGCAGAATTAGCTAATAAAGGCAGAGAACTTCTTGAGCATTTTAAGACACAAGGAACACCAGTTATGATTGGTATGTTTGTTTTTCATATTATTTTATGTTGTGTAAGAAAAATTTGAATTTACAAATGCTAAATAATTGTTCTTTCTTTATAGTAAAAACTTTACTTTTCTTTTTACTATTGGACATTTTCCCATCTTTTTTGATTGAAAATGCTAGGCTTAATGTTCTGCTGCGTTGTTTATATTTTTTTTAAGGTTTATAGTACATTTTAACCCTTTAAACTAGTAAGGTATAAGGTGGGGAAAAATGTGTTATGCTGATTCAGTGGTACTTTGAAAATGTTGTTTGTGACATGGTGTGTAAAAATGTATCATATTAATACAGTGATAGGTTTCCTGCATTGAGAATTCAGAATCACATAATCAGTTGTAAATTATTGTACTTCCTTTGTATATACATGCTGACTGTCATTTGAAATATTGAGATGTAATACACATTATCTAAAAATTAATGAATGCCTTTTATGTGTGTGTGACATCAGAACATTGCTCTTAATCCAGTATGGTTTTCAGCCAGAGACGTATGAAAAATAACATATTTTATAAAACTCTCTTTTTTATTGGCTAGGAGGTTTTTAACCAAATAAGACTATTCATCACCTGTAGTTTGAAGTTTCTGATAAACCTACTAAGATGCCTCCCAATGTCTTAGTGGTATGCTTGAGATCTCATAATACTAAAGTTCAGTGTTTGATCTCTATCATGGGCATGGCACAGATAACTCATTGTGAAGCTTTATGCTTGAAACAAAAAAAAAGCCTACTAAGATAAATCTCCTAAAAATATATCTAATCAAGTATAATGATCAATCACATGTACTAGTCTTAAAGAAGACCCTAGAGAAAGTATAACTTCTAAATAAGCAAGATGAACATTTTATATTCCTGTTCTGCATGAAATTTTTAACCAGATAAAACAAAATTTGATTGTCATAATAAGCTTTGGTAGAGTTACTAGTAAGTGCACTATATCATCAAAATACTGATAGTGGAAAATGACCAATGACATATTTATAAATGTCAGAAATGGTCTTTCAACTCCTGATTTAAGAACTTGCAACAAATTTTTAAGATTTGATTCTGTGGTAGTAAAAGAATTTTTCAATTAAATTTTTGAGTACAACTACTTTATATTTAAGCTTAATGTTTAAAAATATCACTTTTATTGATAAGACTACTTTTAAAAATTAAAAATAGGATTAATGTTTAAAATGCACATTAGAATTTTTACTGTGCATTTTAAATGTTTATTCTATTTTCAATTCTTGAGATTTATTGCACAAGTTACTGAAATCGAATCTTCAAGAAGGACTACTTCTTTTTCCAAAGATTAACCCTTTTGCTCTGGATATCCTTTACTATGTGTGATGGAAAGTTTGTGTCTTACATTCGAAATTTTAATAAACCACTTTTTCTTTATGTTATACCAAGTAGTGTAGCTTAAATCATAGCTAATAATCCATATTTTAATAGTATATAGTTTTAAGTTCCCAATTGTACGAGGCAATATTTAAAAACATCCTGAATTCTCCTAGTGTGACACCCGTGACATATTTTCTCTATGCATCTTGTCTTCTTTATTTTATTCACCACCCCTTGAAAAAGCATGAAATTTAACATAAATTACACTCTCTATAGAATCGTGACTGCTCAAACGAGCCATAATTTTTATAGCCTTAGATTTTATTTGGTTACAGAACTATAAATAGAAAATCACACCCTTTCACCCACATCTAACTGTCACATCCTCTCTTTCAGGCTTTGTTAATAGTTCTCTTTTACATTTCATTGTATATTACCTATAACCAATAGAAAGTCAAGGTTTTAATATTTCAAATGACATATTGTATATCATTGTGTTCTGAACAGATAAGTTTCAATTTCACTCACAGTACAAGCTTCATTCCCATGGGAAAGATAACAACTAGCTTGGATGAATTTGTAATGACCCTTGTCGAATAGTTAGAAAGCCAGAAAAATTTTGAGAGTTAGAGGAGATTGTCTGCTTTTTGCATAATATTGGTCTATGTTCTTTGGTACATTATTTAATGCAATACTACCATTATTATAAAATATGTAGGCTTAAGTATACTCGACAATTGACAGCAATAAAAAAGATGATTGGGTAAGTAACTTGTTCCTTGTTTTTCATGTATATTCTTTATTTATTGTTATAAAAGTAACTAAAATCTAAAAATATGGATCTTTTTAGGTTAGTTAAGATGAGATTTGGTAAAATAAATAATAAAAATATTTCACAAGTCACACACATGAGCAGCATATAAATAATATAATTTGATAGCGTAATGTTAGCTGCACATGCCCCGAGTAATTTACAACTTGTTATGTCAAGGCTAGTAGTTAGACATGGTTCAAAGGGCAATAAAATTTAATCATAAATAGATGTATACTGTTATGAGCTTAAAACTACTTAGGATAAACTAATGTAGTTTTATGTTACAATTTGAAGTCATTCTAGAAAGAAAAAAAGGATAATTTAGATTTATTTCGATTTTTTTTTTTTTTTTGGTGGTTATGAAGTTGGTCAAATTGACCAATTCTATTTTGAGTTATGGTGGAGAAAATAACAGATGAAATATAAAGTTTTACTGGAAAAAACGTTTATAATGTATTTAGGATGTTTTAGGGATTACACAAAGGAAATTTGAGGTTTTTGAGATGAAGAAAAGTATTTTTAGTCTTAACATGAAAATTACTTTGCACATGGACTATTCAAAACAAATACTCAATATATTCGTGGACAAATCTTTATTTTAGTTTAAAAATATTTCACCAAAAATTTGGATTTTTTGTATGTGAAAGACATAATGTTAACTGAAAGACTGCCAAATTTTGTGAAGATATGCACACTATATTGAAAGTTTTCAGTATTAAATCTATAAAGACTTTAAAGGAGTGCAAAGAGGTCATGTGGTCGGTCAAATCGACTGACTCCGTGTTGAAAGAGTTAAGTAACTTTGTTGAGAGAACAAGCTGCCATCATCCTCTGCTTCATAATAAAAGGAACCCATTAATTGTACTTATTTTGAAATTATTCCACATGTATATAAAAAACAAATTAATGTGATCAGGTTTAATACTGGTCAGTGTTCTGCTATATGAATTTTATTAAATAGTGCTACCAGATTGTAATTCTTAATTCTGGATATAAGAAAATTTTGACCAATCAGGCAGGTTAACTGATGATGCAAAATGTCAGTCCATTGAACTGACCCTGTATTGGAGAAGGAATGTTAATTAATTCCAAATTTACTGTGTATATCTACACAAAACATGGCAATCTTTTAGTCAAATATACAAGTCTGTAGTACACAAATCAGATGTTTTACAAATGTATTTATACAAAAGGTATGTCTATGAATTGTTGTGGTCAGTCTGACTCAATTTCTGATAAGTCTGAGTGCAAAGTGATGCTCATCTGAAAAATAAAATTACTTTTGCATATTCCATTTCTAAAACCTCTGATATGCATATCTACTTTTTTTTTCAGTATCTCTATATTGTGCCTGATATTTACTTTCCTCTGTTGTTATATCAACAATGTAGGGTGAAATGAATGGTTGATAACTCTGACATCAACACATAATATCATGTTGAATGGCACTCTTCAAAGGTTGTGGCATGTGCATTTTGACTCCCATCTGTGCACATAGGGTTAAAAAACTTGAGAGTGAGTGAATTATAACATATCATCTGTTGCTACAACTTCTGTGAACCACCACAGTCAAAAGCAACTATTACCGTAACCACAATAAATTTCTTGTAAATAATTGACAGCCACATTTTATTTTGTTACCCAACCCTACTTAAAAAATAAATAAATAAACTTTTATTTTATTTTTATTAATGAATGTTTTATTTGGATATAATTTCAGTATTTTTTATACTTGTAACAAAAGAGTTTTAAGTAAGTAAAATAATTGTGACACCTAAATTTATTTCTTGTAAACCAGTTGATGGGTTAATAACTTTTAACATATGTGCCAGACATGTGTTGTGTTTTCTTTTGTTTGTCACATTTTCTGTATAATTAGATATTGTGAAATTAACTGTTGATTTAAAAAAATATATTCTACATTATTTTTCTGAAAGATCATTGCTTTAAATGTGGAATTGCATTGAATGAACTATGAACACTAAAATGGGCTTAAACTATATTAAAACTATTTTGTTAGAAAACTTTAAAGTTCTTTTTTAACATATTTTGATGATGGTTCTAAAAGGAAAAAATGTTTTCTGTTGAAATTTGTTGTAAATATACTCTCTTTCTCTTTCTTCATTAAGATATTCTAATTGACAAACAGGTCTGATATTATCAATGGCATTCCTTATTTCAGTGATATATATACAAGATAAGCATTACGTAAGCATTGATAGAATTGACATTGTCTGTCCAAGTTGTCAACTTGATGTCATAACGGATAATGTCTGGGGATATTAAGTTCATTATTGCTTTATAGGGCTGATTTTAATTGCTTGTAAACAATTAATGTAACTATATATATATATATGTGTGTTTTATTTTCATTTTTTTCATTCCATCCTAGGAGGAGGAGTATTAGCACATACTATTCTAGGCATCAACTTTAATGAAGTCACTGGTGACATAAAATTTTTAATTCTTGATCCTCATTATACAGGAAATGAGAACCTTTCTACAATTCAGAACAAGGTAAGAATAATACATTTTTTTTCAGGAAAATAATTTAATTTGTAAAGTACTAAGTATGAATATGAGCACTGTTTAGTAATGATTTTTTGTGTTGGAAATTTTTCCCACTTCTTTCATAAAATGTTAATGTAAAAGAAAATTTATACATAATGACAGTAAAAAGTATTTAACTTCTCAAGTTCTACTTCATTTAGGAAAACGTACCTCATATTTCTTTTTAATATATTTATATAAAAATACACTACTTGGAAGTGGCCCCTCAATAGTGTGATACATCAAGTATGTTACGTTGTAGTCAAAAAAACAATGTCATTTTGTAGAACAAAGAAAAAGTTTATAGCAGGAATTATACAGGGTATCCACAAAGTCATGTTCTGTTTTTAAAAGTTTATTTGAACAAAACAAAAAAAGCTATAATTATGCAGTTTTTAGCACCTTGTTGCTTAAATAATGAAGTTTTTTTCTTGATTTACAAATTTTAATCAGAGTATCCACTTGCTAATGATTGAAGTTTGAACGAAGATGGTGACTGTACAGGAGAAAGTTGAATGTGTGCATTTTATATGCATAAAAATGCAATCTCGTGTGTAGGACTTTGTGTACTGTTTATCTTGGTAGCTGGAGTTCACTTGAAGCATGACAAATAGACTTTCTAGGGCTGCATTGGAACATCTTCTGGACATTAGCAATGGTTTCTTCTGAAACACCTGGACGTCCACTTCAAGGCAGGTCAATCATACTTCCTGTTTCCAAAAACTTGTGAAACCACCTCCTAATACTGGGTTTGGAGGGAGGATGCTTGCCATATTGACAGAGATAATTCTGTTGAACAATTGTTACTGATCTTGACTCTGCAAACCAGATGACACATTGAGCTTTCTCCTGTGTAGTTGCCATCTTCATTTAAACTTCAACCATAAGCAACTGGACATTCCAATTACAATCTGTAAATCAAGAAAAATGTCATTAGTTAAGCAACAAGGTGCTAAAAACTGCATAATTATAGCTCTTTTGGTTTTGTTGTAATAAACTTTTAAAACTGGAAAAGGACTTTGTGGACACCCTGTACTATATTGGCAATATTTTATGTGCCTCGAAAAGGATATAATCTTAAGTTAAACCCTTCTTTCTTTTGAACTTCAAGACACATAAATGAAGGCTATTATAATTTTCTTGTATGAGTGCCTAGAAAAATATGCCTATAAATAAAGTATATAACAATTATTATAATTTGACTTTAGCTACTCAAAAAAAAATTAATATGTATAACTTTAAAAAAGACAAAACTGGAGAGCCTAATTTATGTATCTTTCTCCAGATAAAACTTCTAACATCTTTTTTAATACTTTGTGAAATATACAGTACTGTGCAAAAGTGTTAGGAGAAGAGAATATTTTGTCATTCTTTCCATTTTATGAGGCTAATTCTTCCATGCCATTACAGAATGTAAATTTCAATGCTATGGTAATGCTTCACTGATCCTTGTTGACAATTGAATGAGCCAAGGTGAGAATACTTATCATTCTTTAGAATTCCCATATACTTGTATCAAGGGCACGTCATAAAGGTTCTGTTTGAATGAACATACTGATCAAATTTAGAGTCTGAAATAACTATCATGGTACCCCATGCAGTGTCTTAACTATATAGAAAGAAGCTACCAAGGAGCTAGCATATGGTACTGGTATATGCTAGAAGAAATCAATTTAATAGCACTCCACAAATAAACCATGATACAAACAATGTTTAACACATATACATATACTAAGTTTCGTTGTCATGCCACAGCCCAAAATGCATAGAGAATTGTCAGTAGAGCAGAGAGTTTGTATAAAAGCTTTACATGATGTTGGTTGGACTCTCTGACAAATAGCTGCAGACTTGAAATGTTCGCCAAACCTTGTCAAGTGCACCCTAGATTGTGAGACTGAGACAGGTAAATTTGAAAATACGAAAGGAAGAGGCAGAACACCTAAACTCAATGATACTGATGTTAAATATCTGTTTATGCAGCCTTCGGGACAGAAGGAAGACTGCCACGACCATGTACCAAATGAGAGAAAAGTGTCAAGGTCGACAGTATCAAGAAGATTCACTGGGAATGGAATATTTGGTCATGTAGCAGTTAAAAAACCTTTACTTTGATCTCCAAATATTATCAAGAGACTGAAATTTGCTAAAAAAGTACAAAAACTGGAATGTTGATGATTAGAAAAGGGTATTGTGGATGAATGAGTCCAAGTTTGAAATATTTGGTTCAAAGGTGAAAGATACTTACCTCAATGCATAGCACCTACCATGGGGGAGGCAGTGTGATGGCTTGGGGGTGTTTTTCTGCTGAGGCAACAGGAGATATTTGCAAAATAGATGAAATAATGGACCAGTGCAAATACCATTAGATACTGATTCGTCATGGTATATCTAGTGGTTTGTGTATTATTAGTAAAGGATTATACTACCAAGAAGATAATGACTCCAAGCACTCATCCAACCTCTGCAGAAATTACTTAGCTGAGGAAGAAACTGCTGGAGTCATTCAAGTAATGCAATGGCCCTCACAGAGCCCTGATTTCAACCCAATTGAGCAGATCTGGGATTTGATAGATCAAAAACTTGACAAATCAAAAGTTACTTCCAAAGAAACTTTATGGGAGTGTATTAGAGACATTTGGAGTAAAATCCCAAAGGACACTTTGATTAAATATGTTGCAACAATGCCTGAAAGACTGCAGTTATTAAAGCAAAAGGAACACACACTAAATATTAACTGTTTCCTGAACTCAAGCACTTCCACTGAGTTTCTGTTGTACTAAATATAAAGATTTATAAAATTTTGATGTTTCACCTGTGATTTACATTCCATTTTTCTTTGAAATTAATTTTTGACTTTGTCCTAACACTTTTGCACAGAACTGTATATGTAACTGGTATAGGAGTTTTATGCAAATGAAAATTTAGAAAAAATTATAGACTTGGGTAAGATAATTTTATGCTTTTTATTTTATTTATTTTATTAGTATATCCTCATGGTAGGCAGAGCACAGATAGCCCATTGTGTATCTTTTTGCAAACAAACATAGTACAGGACTTGACTTTACTAAGATGTAAGGAAAATGTGATGTTTAATCTCACTATTTGTTGGTAAAGAGTAGCCCAAGAGTTGGCAGTGGGTGATGTTGAATAGCTGCCTTTCCTGTAGTTTATTACTTCAAAATTACTTCTTTTGATATTTGTTCTATTTGAAAAATTATTTTTTTCAGGGATGGTGTGGCTGGAAGGGACCAGAGTTCTGGGAAAAGAATTCATTTTATAACCTTTGCCTACCACAGTGTCCTCATGAGATATGATATATAGATGTATATAAAGGTTTTTGTGATTTTCTATGTATCTATAAATTTGTGAAGTAGTTACTTGATCAGAGTATACTGTATCTTCTTTGTACATTGTCAGCTGCCCAATGAATTAAGGTGCAAAGTTTTGCCTACTGCTAAGCTATCATTTATCAGGAAAACTGTGATGTTTTGTATTTGACTACTTGTTGCTATATTTGAAGTTTTAAAGCTATAGAAGTGTATTTTATACCTGTTAAACATAATGTATTGTTCTTTTAATAGAGCTATTCTGACTGGTGGAAATGGGCTATTTTTGGAATAAGCAGTAACTTTGTCTTTTCAGTTATCATAATATATATATATTTAGAGGTAATATGAATATATATCTGAAGTAAAGGGATTAATAACATTTAAAACTGTTTACAAGATGATTAAAATAAAAGATTGTCAACCTCAGTGTCTATGTAACTGTTTATTTGGATATTTAAGACAGAAAGCAATAATACTTAAACAGTCAAGCAAAATCAAATCAAAAGGAAGGACTGCATTAAAAACAGCAAATCCAAACCTGTGATAAATGACATTTAAATGAACAAAACAAAAGCCCAAACCAAAATTAAATTAAAGATGTTGCATAAATTAAAAGGATCCCCAGGGTACAGGCTATAATGTGGGATATAAAATGTGCCCGAGTTTTGGGGGTAAAGGTTTCAAGAAAACAACTTGAGTCTCTACTTAAACTATCCCTTAAAGTATGTAGAAAAAAAAAAAAATGCTACAAGTAAATAGTTTTTAACCTGAACTTAATAATGAAAGTCAGTACATATATTATCAGAGATATTCTGAACAATTGAAAATAGTCATCCTACTATTCTAGGCCATTTCCAGGGATAAACCTTATTTTCTTCAAAATATCATCCTTTAGCCTTTGTCACAGCCTC